CATCTGTCAAATCACTCTTCTGTTCCCCCTCCCCACTTGTTTGTGACTGTGTCGGTTTCTTCTCTCTGTGACGCCCGAAGTCAACCAAAGGGCAAATGATAACTATCATGAAGTCTGTCATTTGCTATAAGTAAATGAATACTAATCTCGACTTAGCATAACTGTTTGAAAATAACTTCCCTAAGGTGGCTCGGGAGTTGGTTATTTAGACAAAAATTGAAATCGGTGATAAATAAATATATATAGATATTTATTCCTCAAGCAATTGATTTACCCATGGGTTTCGTCCCGCCATTCTTAACAGCTACTGGTTCACGCCTGAACCACTCAGCGATTCGGCAGTTGCTTAGCCGTCTGCCTAAAATTGCCCGAAGAGACATTGACAACTCTATGATGATCCATTACTGTAAGAGTTAATGATCGCACTAGTCTATCTGGTTTGATGTATTACTAATCGCCCACTACCCACTCATTATGAGTACCTTCTCCCTCCTCGACCAGAACCGATCAGCGTTTCAACGAGCCCGCGATAAGAGACAACAAAGGAATATGAACTACGTGGGACTTCTGGTGTACTCGGGCTGTTTTCCTTTTCCCACTACTTACCAACGGGTACTTGTAATCCATTATATTATTCACATGTTCTACATTATTCTCCCACTCTAATCACACCACTTACACGTTATACGTCTTCCATTAAGTTGCTCAAATGTTTTCCATACGAAACAATTTGATAGATGCCAATGTTACCAAGAACCATTATCGTTGGGAAATTCAACACTACGGGTACCAAACTTTAGTTGCAAGAGATTAGTCGCTAAAATTTATGAAAAGATAAGATGTTACTTTGCATGCATTTTGTAAGTCAGAAAAAGTCTGAGCCAATTGAAATACCCTCACCTCTAAAGGTGTTGTAGGAAGAGTTAACAACAAATTTGTGCTCATTCCATTCAACCGTTCGCCTTATGATTATATCCAATGTCTTCAGTACTGCCTTTTAGTCTACCGTCCTAATTACAGAGTCATACAATAGAGAGAAGAGTTCCACATCTTTCCCAGCCCCGAAAGAATTTTCATGCTTCTCACATCAAAAAATCACCGCCTTCTTCCCTTTCTCCTTAAGACAAGAGCAAGTTGGTTAGATAGAAATGAACTTCTTTAGCATGATAGTCCTCATTCTCCTCCCCGCCCCCCCGCCACCATGACCGTACCCCTCCCCCCCT